AATATCTATCTTGGATATCATTTTTCTTACATGTTTCAATAGCTGAAGTTTTTATCTTAGTTTTACTGGCTTCCCTTCTTCATGGACTCATCTCTATTATCCTCTGGAGACTTGCCTATTGTAAATTAAACTTGAACTCTGGCTAACTGATAATTGTTGAAGTGACAGTTTCCAGTAACTGAGTTCTGCTGGGAAAAAATTCTTATGGCCTTAAAAATCTAACACTGGGTTTGGAAAACTCTTAATTGAAGAAAAGTATTTTAGATTTCAACAAACAAGACAGAAAATTTTACAAAATGCTTTAGCAGAAGTGAGAACTGTATGATAGTTAAAATCAGTACTTTATTACACTTTTATCTGTTTTTCACAGTACTCAAGGTTGAACCCAATGTCTCACACATGTCAAGCAAGCACTACACTATTGGGGTTACCATAATATTTAAACAATGAAATTTAGTGCTTTCTTCAATCAAGTAGCTTAGGTTTGCAATTAACTGAGTTATTGGAGTTATAATAATATGTTCAAAGAAAAATCAAATTTTAAATTGTATTTATATTTATTTGAATATAGGCATGGATGATGGGCAGACAATGTGAGCCATGGAGTATAGCATATGTGTGAAGGGCAGAGGGCAAGCTTGCAGAATTAGTTCTGTCCTCCCACCTTTCCAAGAGTTGCAAGGATTCCGTTCCTCAGGGCAGTTGCTGCAGAATGCACATACCTTCACCCGCTAAACCCTCCTACCTGCCAGGAGAAATAGATCGCTAAACAACTGAAGGCAAAACATGGAAATTTACGAATAATAAAGCCCAGTTCGGATTTGTTTAATTTCATTAAATCTATTCCTCGCATTGATACTGCTTTGCTTATCACCTGTGTCAGAGTAAGAATGATGCAAATAAATTAAATATTCTTATGTTTGCTTGACATTTTTAGTAAAATAGAGAGAATATTTCTGTGCAATGAAAAATAAAACTGATATAAATTTGCCATGATAATAAGGGTCCAAATAAGTCAGGCAGTGGTGGGACGTGTCTTTAATCCCAGCACTCAGGAGGCAGAGGCAGGTGGATCTCTGGGAGTTCGAGAAACCCTGTCTCAAAAAAGTGGGGGGCAAATTACAAAGCATGCAACGAATACCAGTGTCCTTTAGCTCCGTTCTTCCCACATTATTCTTAAGTGATGAATATGAAACTTGACAGCAAAACTGGTCTCCAGTCCCTCTGGAGAGCAGAGACCCTCACTCGACCCTTCATTCTTTCCTAATTTAACCAGTCTTCGCACATATGAAAACACTATGAGAGATGTTAGGTTTACAGACTTAAAGCTGTTGCTAAAACTGAGTTTATCCTATGCTGTTTTCTCACATCGGTTTTGGGCTCCAGTTTTTTGAAGCTGTTTATGACTGTGTATGTTTCAAATGTGACCCGATGAGGAAGATTTTTAGTAACATTGGTTGGGAAACATTTAACTGATTTTCTAAGTACTTTCACTTTGAAAATATCTGCTGTGCATCTGTTAATTACATGAATTGACCATATGATTATAAATACTCTCCTGGCATGAGTCGAGAATTTACCCTCCACAAAAGATGAAATGATCCAATATAGACACAGTATGATGTGATGGATTTGTCTAAATGTTCAGCTGAAGGGTTTAGCTCCTCCAAGTGTAGATTTAGAATTTTTGAGTTGTCTCTATTTATCTGTGTTTTTTTAGATAATTTTATGCAATCCACACTAATAAAAACTGGGATGTATACAGGTCTTTGTGAATGTAATTTGCCTTGAAGTTTACATTATACATCTTTTAGGTGATCACTTCATTATTCAATCTTAAGTTTAAAGATGTGGATAACACTGAAAACATTCAAACAAGTAGCACTATACTATCTGAACAGTTATGTATAGGAATTAGGAATGAATATATATATATGTGTGTGTGTGTATTCACATACATATACATATGGATGCAATAAGAATGAATATGAGAAGTCATGATGTTAAAGGAGAGCAGACATGGAAATATGGGATAGTTTGGAAGGAGGGAAAAATGCACGAAATATAGTTATTATAATCTAAAAAAAAAAACCTGTGAAAAATCTAAGCGGAGTAGTCTGGACGGATGGCTCCCCGTTTCGGAGTTAGTTCACAGACAGCTCCACTGGGTGGCAGCAACGCAGTATAGAAAGAAGGGAGTGAAGCCTGAAAGTCCCCACGGAGGCCATGCTGAGCTTACCATTGTCACCCTTCTGCATGCACTGCAACACGAGGATACTAGCCTTCATAACATCAGAGTTCTCCATACACAATCAGGTAGAAGCATGTTAAAGACAAACATGCAGCAGTGATACTTGTTTTGAATAGTTTTCCTTTGCAATGCATTAAGTTATACATCCGTTTTTTCATTGTAATGTGAAGAATGGGTAAGATGCTAAGTTTTGAGTACAACGCTCTTCTCAATTAAGTATTCAATTTCAAAATTTATAAGATGGCTTTTGATATACAGTTGGTAAGCATATATTGTGTGCTGCCTCCGTAAAACTAACTACAAAATAAGCATCTTGGGTATAATAGATTTTATAAACACTGTGGCGGCAAGTCAGAATTATGTGTTCTCATAAATTATACAAAGTTGAATTTGTGATTCTCAACATTTTAGTAACGACTGGGAGGAAATAACCTGGAAAAATAGCACTATCATACATGTCTGCAGCAAGGCAAAAATGGTGCAGAAACTTAGCATTTACAGTATGCAAATGACCTTGCCTATTAATGCAACTTAGATTTAAATCAGCAAGCACTGGGTGAAGCAAAGGACGGTGAGGCAAAAGAATCTTAGAACACTTAAACATGATGAACTGTGACAGAGTGTGCCCCTCTCCTGCATCCTGAGTTGCAGGCTCCACACAGGCATCTGTGGAAGCCAGGTGAACTCACTCTGGTCAAACAAATAAGGCACTAAGTCACTCTGCTGTTTTCCTTTTTTAAGTTAAATGTTTATTTGCACTGCTTGAAGGATAACATCAGTCAAAATAATCACACAGTGTGGGTCTAAGTACAGTCTCCATGTTATTAGAAATATAATTCACTCGGCCTAATTCCTTACTTCTTTGCACTCTGCAGTATCTTCTGGAAAGTATTTTACCGTAATTGTGTTGTGGTAACAGGACGAACTAGATACAGCTGTGTCCTAATTGAATCTGTGAGTCATGTGTTCTCACAGTATGAAGGACATGCCCAAGAACACATTCCTTAGGGCACACCAGTTAAACTGCATTATTACTCGGGGTGGTCAACCTTATAAAAAATATTTCTGCTAGGATTAACTCAACTCTGTGAGCAGTAACATTTTGAAATATAAATGACCCAATTGAAAACGTGAAGAAAGTGAAGCACTGGTGTGTGTGTGTGTGTGTGTGTGTGTGTGTGTGTGAGTGTGTCTGACTGTGTCTGACTGTGTGCATGTGAATGTGTGTGAATGTATGAGTTTGTGAGTGTGTATGAGTGTGTGAGTGTGTGTGAGTGTGTGAGTGTGTGTGAGAGAGTGTGTGTGTGAGTGTGTCTGACTGTGTGCATGTGAATGTGTGTGAGTGTGTGAGTGTATGAGTTTGTGAGTGTGTATGAGTGTGTGAGGGTGTGTGAGTGTGTGTGTGAGTATGAGTGTGTGTGAGTGTGTGAGAGAGTGTGTGTGACCATGTGTGTGTGCCCACGAAGGGAGATCAGGCAAGAGTGTGAGGACCCAAACCTCTTCTAGGCCTTGTCACTACCCTTATAATTTGAAAGTGACTACACTTCAGATGTGAGCTGGGTATCAATGTAAAAGACTTGAAGTCTAAGGCAGGAACAAGGAACATAGCATGATCCTGTCTCCAAATGAACACAGCAAACAGATGTGTCCATCAAATGACGTCATACATTACCAGCTGAGGCAAACCTGGATGACTCAAAGCATGGCTCAGATAAACCCTTACAAATGAACTAGCACTGTCCCAAACATGCAGTTGACGCCATAGGCTGTTATAGTATTTGTGACCGAGACCCAGAGAAAGAAAGAAAGAAATGTGATTTTTTTTGAGATTTGTGTTCAAGATTCATGTGCCAAACAGAACAAAGGGAACTGTCTGTCATAGCTGGGGAGAAGGCTCAGGTTTGGTAGGGACTCAAGCTCAAGCAAGGGGATCTGAACTTGGATCCCTAGCACCCACTTAAAAGGTGGAGCATGGCAGGTACATGTAATCCCAGCTCTGGGGAGGCAGAAATGAATGAGCTTTCAGGGCCATGATGGACAGCCAGTCTAACCAACAGTGAGCCTCAGGTTCGGGGAGAGGCCACCCCCATCCCCAAAACAAAAGTGGAGAACTGAAAGAGACACTCGATGCCGACCTTGGTCCTCCACACCCATATGCACATAAGTGCCTGGTACACCCCGTCCCCAGGCGCAGGGACAGTTTCATATGAATAAAAAAACAAAGAGCAACAAGTGAAGCAGCTAAAGTGCTCACCATGGTCAGCCGCCTTTTCCAGTAAGTAAGTGATCCTAAACCACAATCTTAAATATTGCCACGGTTTGAAAGTAGAGAAACCAGCACCCAAGACACTTGCCTCCAATAACTACAGGGGTATTGGGTTTTTAATCTGCATCACCAGTTGCCTATGCGATAGAGACATGTCTTTACTGTGACTGGACCGGTAGGTGAGATGTTTAACCAGGCGGGAAGGGCGAATTGAAGCGCTCCTGCCCTGCAGGTAGTACTTTCTGGAGACCACAGCCACTGTCCAGGTACCAAGCGTGGAGGCTTGACGCACGACATAATGGTACTGATGCCACTGCTGTTGAGGTCTGTTCCGAGGAGGCTGTAAGGTTTCCCTCTAGTGCCTCGGGGCTTGACTTGCTTTATTAATTTGACTGCCTGAATGTGCTTTTATTTGTTTCTGCCTCACAACTTTGTTTTGCTGTTCAGTTGAATTTAATTTGACCGATTTTTCAATTTCCTTAGGTCCGTGTGTTTACCTTTTCTGTTGGTCAGCATAATTATGACCGAGGACCTATTCAGTGGATGGCTTGTGAAAATAAAGGTAACAGAAAGTTCTCTTGAGCATGTTTTATTAGAAGATAAAATACTTTGATAATGATTGTTAGGTCTTTCCATCACTTAACATTAAGTAGTAGCTTTAAAAGGTACGGGATAAGACTCTGAGCTTGCCTTTGGAGAAAACATGTACATCAAACTCTGAGATTAGTGCTGTGTGAGAACATGCTCAAACGTCTGATCCTAATTCTGTGAACTGATGACAGGATGCGTGATTCTTAATGACGTAGAGCAGATATGTGCATAATTTTTCTCTAAATGACTGGATTCTTGTTTTTGCAAACAATCTCATGCTTTGCCTCAGTATTCAAATTTCATGCAGTGAGCTATTTTCTTTGTACTCAGAAAAAAGAAAATCTTTTGAAGAATAAACTGTTATAGCAGAAAAAATAACCTGTATACATCCCAAAACTGTGTTTAGGAAAATCATGTGCATATAATGATTATGTATCTAAGTGTACTTTTAATAGTTTATTCAGTAAAAAAGAGTTTAATAGTTCTAGTTCCCTCACTGCTTTGTAGAGGAAAACAGTTATTTTATATTACCTAAGAAATCCATTAAAATTTATTGTAAATTCTCCAAAGTGATTGACAATATTCACTAATCGATATTTTTCTGAATTTAACATTTGATTTTATATTTTAATAAATATCTTTATATTATTTACTTACTTGCTCAAATTAGAAGGAAAATTAGCTTTTCCTCCTAAAAGGATATTTTTGTTGTTCTGTAAGTATAATATTTATAATTTGTCATATGTATATGAATTTTAGGTTATTATTATGAAATTCCCTCCATTGGCGCAATAAGAATCAATACTCAGGTATGATTATCTAAAAACACTTATACATTTTTCAAAATTTAAGATATTTTCTCGGTTTAATTAGTTCAATCTAAAGATAATAGTTAAAAATAGAAAAAAGATTTAAATAATTTATATTTATACAATGCTGACTAATATGGTATTTATTGTTTTAAATCCTTAAACATCTAAAACTTAGGTAAACATATATAATTATGAGCTTGCTATTCTTGGTCATTAAATAGGTCATGGCAAATAGATAATATGAACTTTATTAATAATATGAAATTTTTATTCAGTTCTAAGTCACATGACTTTCTCAGCAATCTAGAACACTAAACAGTAATTATTCTGGGTGAGTAGTATAAGCCTTACATAGGACTTGAGTTTTCTGTACACATTCCTGTAGGTCTATTTATTTAAATAAAACCACAATAAGATGACCTTTTAACACCATTCATTTGTGGGGGGCATACCATTTACATAACATTTTACAGAATTAAGCAATTTTAATTTAAGTATTTTTCATTTTGAAATGTTCATAAATTACAATTTAAAGATCACTGCTCAATTTGAAACACCAACAATAATGTGCAAAATAGGTGCTAAAATTTAACATAAATAGAGGTTAGCATTCAATGTGCACTGAACACTCTGAATGTTGAGAAGAAACAGCAGTGAATTAAGTCTGGTGTCTGGATTGGGTACATATTTCAGTTATTTTTCTTGACATGTTTAAATGAAGTTTTGAATTTCATCCAAACAATCTGTTATGTGAAAGCAAGTATGTGGTCACTTTATCATTTCAAATTTGTGCAATTTCACACATAAGTCATGGAGCCTTAAAGATCAACATGAAGCAATTTATAGTGAATATATTTCACTTATCATTGGCTGTAATTTGAGGACCAATGTTCTGATTGGTACTAGAAAAAAAAGAGCTGGGGAAGATATGTTCTATAAATAAGTGTTATTGATCCAATGAATATAAAAATATAATTTAAGGAATAAGCTAGATAAAAAATTAAGAATGCCCCAAGTAGAACATACATACTCTTAATAATTTGGTTCCTTAGGTAGTTTCAATTTTAAACTTTTCATTTGAAGGTTATTTTTAAACATAGTATCTTTGACTTGTTTGTTCTGTTGATGTTTGACAATGTTTCTGCTGTATAAATAGGAGTATCTAGATGTTCTTGGAAGACCAATGGTTTTAGCAGGAGACAAAGCGAAGCAGGTGCAGTGGACAAACGTGTATTTGGATGCACTGGTAAGAGGCTCTGATCGGAACCAAACGCTGTCACATTGCAGCACCCAGGCTACTTTCCTTCTCTCTGGTGACAGTTCCCTGTTCCTCTTCACCGAATCCTTTCCAGAATTCATTCCTTTGAAGCTTCTCAGCTAGGGTTTAGAAACTTTTTAGAAAATCTTAGATTTGCATTAATATAAAGTTGTACATGTAAAGTTATGTTATTCTTGATCTATTAAAAATACTGCTTTTCCAATGTAGAATGTCGAATATATGGGGATTTCAGTAACTTTTTGATATTTTAATATGAGAAAATAATGCTGAATGTCATGTGATCAGTAACCAAGTACTCTGTATTTTGAACAAACACTTTGAAACACATCTTTTTAAAGTGGATGTCCATTGTTAACTACATGTACAATACACTCCAAAATTGAACCTGGACTTATACGAGCTCAAAAGTACTTTTAGTTAGACCCACAGAACTCTGACAACATATTTGAATCAGGGTGGACATAATCACATCTTCATGTAGAATGTCTGGCTCTAAGTTCAGACTTAGACATTCTCATGGCAATGTCACATTGAGGTGACCAAATTGGCTGTATCAGGTTCTTCATAACCCAACTGTCATCTTACAAGCATTGTATCCCATTTAAGCACTAATTTTCAACTATGAGTTATTTTTCCTTATCTATGTCACTTGAACGTGCATGAAGACATTTTTCTCAAGTGGTGCAGACAACTCCCACTGGCATGTAACAGATAATACCTTGGCTTGGTGATAAACATCCTATAATACATCCCTGTTTCCCACACAGCACAAAAATTAGCCAGCCCAATTTGTGAATATGAGATAAGCTGAGAAATCCTGCTTTAGTTTATTTTTTCTTTATGACACAAGTTATTAAAACTTAACAATACTTAAGACTGTTTCCTATGCCAAATGTGAATTTAAGGGCTTTTTAGTCATTTACCAAAGTAATACACTAGACAGTCTAAAAGCAAAGCTGAAAGTAAATGCTGATTCAGTAATGCCCTTTTCTCTACTTGGAGTCTAGTGAAATGCCTTTGCTACTTCTCTAAGTGCAATGATGAACCCGAAGGGCAAAACATAGCCCGTTAGAATGACTTATCACTTGGTACTTACAAAATAAACACATACAGGAAGTTAGAGGAAGAGTAGGAACTATTAGTAGCAGTCTCGCATGCTAAGAGAGATAAAGGGAAGCTTGCTTACCTCAAGCCACAGAAAATGACTGCTGGATGTTCTTTCTTGACATTGCTTATTTACTTAAGGTCACATGGTCATGTTCAGCCATGACCAAGATGTTCGGTTGTTCAAATCAATCACAGGATTGCACATTCTGAGAGTCGATAGTTAGGTCCTGCTCAATTTCCTATGACCAGAAGTTCAGTAACCAGAGTGTCTGCCTTGCTGGCGAGGTTCTCAGTGATAACACAAACAACATTTGGAGGAAATGCTGATTGTAAATGTTCTGCCTTACAAGCTGAAACAAGATGTTAAAAAAAAAAGTGGAATGTGTAGTTAGGTGGTCAGAGACACGGAGAGCGTTCTGCATACTGGTTTAAAAGTAAGTGGCCCACCATTTAGAATGACCTCATGCAGGGGCTTCAGCATGCTCTTAGTCAAATCAGTCAAATCAGAACACATATACCATTCCAAGAACAAGCTTGATGACTACTGTGGCCTGAAGAATTCAAAGAGCTGTGGCACTTTAAAAGACAGATGTCATATAATTGGGGTTAGAGCAGGGAGTAGTTAAAAAATGAAGACATTTTTGCTGCGTGTAAGTACGGGTCATGGTTTTATAATTCATGCAGAAGGTGAAACCGCAGAAAGTGTACATTATTAAATTAAGAGCACTGAGTTAATTGAAGACATAATCATACCAACACCGGATCACCTTTAGAGGCCCTGGAGACAGGAGAGGAACAGGACTAGGGCAGTGTCCTGGAGAGACTGTTTCATTTGAAAGATGGAGCTAGGCTCTTTATATATAAAGAGAGATAGGAAGCGTTGCTATGTTTAAGATAAGTGTCACGTTCCAGGAAGCAGGACCCTTCATTTTTTCATTCCATTCCTTGGAAAGTGTGCAGAGTGCCTGGAACAAAGAATACACGTTGGAGTCTAGTTGCTTAAAATAATATTCATTGGGGACATTTGTGATACAGCATAGCACCTTTGATTTAGGGCTTAAAATTGTGAAAGAAGCTACAGAAAATAGCTTTCAGCAAATCTAAGTTCTATTTCAAGTCCTCTTACGGAGGTACCTGATAGTAAGTGGATTGTTGTGTAAGAAATTTAGATGTGAACAGAGTTACTGAGATGTTACAGTTATATTTGTGTAAGTTAGTTTTATTTTATTCACAATAATTATTAGATATTCTAAAACTGCTTAATAAATACTTATTACTTCTGAGAAAATTTCATTGATTTTTTTTAAGTTCTCTTTAAAGGCAGTCAAAATTAGTTGTTAAGTTTTTGTGACTCTTAACACTATAATTGCAAAGCGAAGTTTCCAATTTCAAAGGCTAATCCAGTAGGACAAAGTTCAAAATGCTGCTTTCATTGGCCTTTTCTCTCCATCTATTTTTAGGAGCTGGGACTTGTCATTACTGGAACTCTGCCGGTCTTCAATGTCACTGGTCAATCGGAAAACAAGACAAACTTGAAGGTTAAAAGTTAATTGATAAAACTAATCACAATACGTGATAAACTATGACGTTGAAGCTGCGTGTGGATAAGATAGTTCTACAAGGAGATCCATAAGATGCAATTGTCTTGTGAGGCTAGAGGTCACTGGCAACAGCTGTCCTATGATAGCCACCAGGGAAAAGGGAAGTGAGGGTCAAATCCTTCTGAGCCTGGAGTCAGGACTCAGCTTCACTTCATCTACCTGTGACGTCATGAGAAAGTCACAAAGTCAGACACAAGTAATGACACGATAAGTGGACAATAGTATCCACGAGTCCACTTTTTAAATGTGCTTGAGATATCCAAAGAATTCAGGAGGAAATCAGGAAAGCCAAATCCATGGTTCTCCTTGAAGCAGATGCAGAAAAATGTTTATTGAATCCTTGCTTTTGAATTCTCAGGGAAGGGCTGTTTTATATTAGCCTAATGATCTAATTAGTTTCTTGCTTTCTGCTTTTCACAAAACAATGGAAAACTGGTTTCATAAAAATACTCAATTTCTATAGCTCTGGTACTATCAATACAACAAGGAGCTCTACTTGAAAGTTGTAACTGATTATTGAATGTAGTTTATATATTTTATATTTTTATTCATTGAACACTTTTGACTTTAAAATAGAATTGCATAGTTAAGAATGAATGTAACACTATAGAAATTATTTTTAATAATAAAGGCTTATAATGCAGGTGGTATTGATGAATTAAAGGAATATTAGTTTCTGGTTTGTAATCCAATGAGGTTTGTTGCACTCAAGCATTGTTGCTTAACATTTTTTTTCTTTTTTGGTTTTGTTGAGACAGGGTTTCTCCGTATTGTTTTGGAGGCTGTCCTGGAACTCCCTCTGTAGACCAGGCTGGCCTCGAACTCACAGAGATCCACCTGCCTCTGCCTTCCGAGTGCTGGGATTAAAGGCGTGGGCCACCAATGCCTGGCAGCATTGTTGCTTAACTTTTATAAATTTCAGTGAAGTGCCTCATTTTAGCAATTGGGGTTCTACGAAGCATTCGTTCTCACTTTTATGGCCATTGACATAAATGTAATTGTTGCAATTTGTAACACTGTAATCCTCTATGGCCTTCCTTCTCATGTTTTAAAATTCTTAGCATGGCCTATCCCATCAGATTGTTTCCCATGTACTGGTTTTATTCAGTCTAGGGTTTGTTCATAGCAACAGACCATAGTTATGAACCCAACTATTTTCTTTAATACAACTTTCATGCCTCTTATGGCTTAGGCTTAGTCATTAACATTTCATCTATGTTAAGTAATTGGGATGAAGCTGACAGTCCTTGTAAATTGACACCAACGTACCGTGTGTACATGTGTGTGTGTGTGTGTGTTGCACTTACACTAATGTGGAAGTCATTCATTACTATAATAAAAGGGTAAACACACCTTTGTGTTGAAACAGTGTCTGCTATAAGATGCACTAACTCCACCGTCTTCATTTAGAACCAGTTGATTCTTGGCGTGATGGGCGTTGATGTGTCTCTGGAAGATATAAAGAGGCTGACACCACGTTTCACAGTAAGATGCAATTTGTTCTTTGACTACACTTCCTATTTCAAAACCATGTACCAATATAGTTTGTCCATAAAGCACTTGAGAGCAAGGTACATGTGGCTGATCTAGCAAGAGGTTAAGGTAAAACAGTTATTTTTAAAATATGAAGACACTATGTTTTATTTATTCTGTGCTACAAGACTTGTATTGAATAACTATTAAAATGTTTAATGTAAATTTCTAATTGTGACTTAGGAATCTCTAAGTTGTTTTACTATTTTCCAGCTGTGCCCCAATGGCTACTATTTTGCAATCGACCCTAATGGCTATGTCTTGTTGCATCCAAATCTTCAGCCAAAGGTATGTATATAATTTGTTTATAATCACTAATGTCTGGTATAGTCTGGTATAATTACTAACTAACAATAATGGGATTGTAGCTTGAAATTCTCTTTGTAACACTACCGTCAAAAGAACAGTGCTCTGTGTTTCCATCAAGAGAGGGCAAAGCCGCTGATGACAACATATGAAAATCTGAAAGCGTCCTTCATCTTCTCTTACAAGTTAGCTTAACTACTATTCTTCTCTCGGACAGTCATTATCACCTCCCGAATCTCATTTTCACACAACTCACTTGCAACTTTAAGGGTCTAGAGAGAATTGCTCCAGAGAACGAATGACAAGTAGAAAAGGCCACTATAGTAACAGAGGTCTGTAACAGTCAAAGTTAACCTGAATTCTTTCATCAGCAACCCATCCCTGGGTTTGAAAGAAAGTATGTTCTATCTCTAGTGTCCATTATTATTTACCAAGGTAATAATGTTACATGCAAGGTTACTAGCCCAGTGTCATATGATTTTTCCTGGTACTATGGAATTATTACAAAATATTTCCGTATAATTTTGTAATTTATAGATGGCTATTTCAGGGGTAGTCCAAAACATCAGTAACTACTCACAAATCTTTTGTGCATTTTTCTCTATGAAATTGACATTGTTTTTCAAAATATGTCATTCCATGACCACATTTTAACAAATAGTCAATAAGCTATCCTGATTTTTCCACCATAGTTTTGTATTTCTCCCATTACAGGAACCATCTTAAGTCATTAGATTTGTTATTTTGATAAATTCTAATAAATGTCGATTACATAGAAAATTGTATATAATTCATGTCTTAGAAATCAATATTCAAAATAAATCCAGTATTATGGTTGAGTTCTCCTCTAGTTTATTAATAGATACCACCGATTTAATTTCTTCAGATAACACAGGGTCAGATTTCAAATGTTCATGGTCTCATAATACCCTATTATATTTATTACAGTCTATTCAGACTGCTATGGAAAAAAATTTAAAGCAAAGACTGGTATGCTTCTAAACAATAAAACTTACTTTATGCATTTTTTATTGTGGTAAGGAGTGCAGGACTCAGGCATGAGTGGATCAGTTTGTGTTCCTCCGTGAGAGATGCTTTTCCCTCTAACCACAATGACAGAGGGGCCAAGGGGCAGAGGGGTCTCTTTGCTTCCCTTACGTAAGTGCTCTAATCCCTTTGTAAGATGTTGTCTCCAAACCTAGTTACCTCTAAAAGACACAGTCTTCTTCTACAACTCAGTTGCCAGGGCAGACCTGTTGCAGAAGAATTTGCAGGGGCATTTCCAATATTTTATTTTATACATTTGTGTCATGTACATTTCAACAATTTTTATTTTAAAATCAATTTTTGTTTCAACCAAGAAAATTTATCCCTCCCACTGTCTAATTTTTATATTTTTAAGGAAAATCCAGGAGAGAGATGAACAATTTCTTTTTAAAAAATTGATTCTTACTACCATTAACATTTTTGGGTTTTGTTGGTGTCTTGTTTTGTTCTGTTGTCATGGACTCTATGATACAAATATTTTGAGTTGTGAATACATCATTTGTTCTGTTTCTTGTCAAGGAAGGACTGACTAAAACTGACTGCAGCATAGAATTCTTATTGCGCTGATATGTAGGATAATGAACTATCATTTCTCTATTGCTTCAGCCTATTGGTGTAGGCATACCGACAATTAATTTAAGAAAAAGGAGACCCAACGTTCAGGTAACTGCGAATGAGGTAGAAAGCCGTGCTTTCAAATCTGCTAAATCAGGTTGGGCTCAGGCTTCTAGTCTCAGAGCTTGTAAGTGCAGCGCCTCTCCTGCCACCGGGTTTCCCCGAGCATGAGGTGAAAGCGAGCTTCCCTCAGTGAGCAAAGCGTGCTAATTACGGTCAACGGTGTGCAATGGCTGGTAGATGGCTAAGGACATTGACCTAATAATATCGTTAATCAGAATAATCAGAATGAAATGGCTCCTGAAGAAATTTGTCATTAAATTTGGTGAAATTAATGCCATACCCCTGTTTTCCTAACTGTTTGCTTGTGAAATTGATTTTAAGTGCAAGTCAAGTCATGATTGCTATGTTGTAATTTCCATAAATGTAAAATTTTTGCCCAGTTGCTTTGCTTTGTTTTTAATTACTGAAAGTGGGGCTTTGGGTGCTGGAGAGATGTCACAGTGGTTCAGAGCACTGGCTGTTATTCTAGAGGACGGGAATGTAATACCCAGCACCACATGGTGGCTCACAGCCATTAGTCATTCCAGTTCCAGTGGCCCCAATGCCCCAGTGTGGGTACCGTGCTCGCATAATCCTCATACACACACTGGTTACAGATACATGTAGGCAGAAGACATGCGGCATAAAAGGCTATTTCTATCACTTATTCAGAGAGATCCAAAATGTTAGAGACAATTTGACATCATTGTAGATTTGTGTGTAAGCCTATCACTTCCTTTAAAGCACATGGTAGTGTGTTACTGGAGGGTCAGCATGGTGTTAAGTGATCTTTAAGTATGGACAGTGGGACTGAGTTGTAATCTGTTCCTATTGGCAGTCAACTCTTTAGCTTTGGGCAATGCACCGGTGTTTTCATCTGTCAAGCAGGGAGTTACATCAGTTTTCATTCTGCACTCGCCTTGAGAAATTAAACATGTGTATCGATGCCATGTCCCACCCTTGGAAGTTCTCATTGAACTTAGGCTCCAGAGCATCCGTAAGCATCTCCATCTGTCAAAAGTAGAATGATTTGGACTAGGGAAGCTTTAGTTCTCTCACAGAACTAGACCTCTCTGGTAATCTAGTGTTGTGTTGCTGCATCTTGAAAGTCTTAGGTCCTTTTTGGTCCCTGTAGAAGCCACAATGATGTGTATGCATTTCTCAGCTAGGAAACTATTTTGTTTTTCTGTTTGCATGTTACTTTTATAATACTTTGAATTATAGTTTTTGCTACCAGGTGAATTTCGGTGAATTTTATTTTTACCACAACACCAAGTATTGCATGTAAATATTATTCATTAAAATATGTAACTTTAATAATGATTAATTTTATTCTATGCAAACCCAAAATGGCAAACCAGCAACCACATAAGACTTTTTAGCTGGGGGAATATTTTTGAACTCTTGAGGTACTATATTAATATTTCCTTATAATTGTTACAAATTTAGATTCTGTTAGCATCACATACTACCCTTAACAGTTATGCTAGCTGAAATTCATGCTGACGAGAATACTAGATACTTAATTTTTCTTTGCGTGGGTTTTCAGAGACCACAAGACTAAATAGATTTCTTCAGCATATGTTGCTGTTTTCTTATTAGAAGACTGTATTTTTTTTCAATTTTCTAGTTCTTATAGAAGTGATGGATCTTTAAACCAATGCTCTGCTGGATTGCCATTTACAAATACAAGTGATGCATTGACAATTTCTTTATGATTTCATTTTCTTCTCTGTCTTTTATGTTGGATTGGGACATGATCTGCATATTGCCAATTCCTCCTGATAATGGCTCCTCCCTGCATGCTGTTTGGGGCCGGTCATGCTATGCATTATCCATTGCATGTAAGAGAAATATTCCTACTTCTGTTTGCATTTTACCATTTGATTGTCTTGAGTTTGTTTTGCATTGGGTTTTTATCTTAATTTGATTATTTACACAGTCGTGTTTGAGGAACATTTGTTGTATCTTTTGGTTAGGGAAGTTGCAAGTTTCGTGGGCTTCACAAAAATTCTCAGTATTGACTTTATTCCCATGTTAAATCTACATTTCAAAGGACTATTTGCTCTTGGTGTATTGTGCTGGAAAACCCAATACTTTCTCTCAATATTATAGAAACTTTGATTATAGAGACTTCTTAAGCAATGAATACTTTCTCAATCATAAAAGGCACTGGTTGGGAACAGTGCCTCGGGTGGAGTACTTGCTGAGCTAACATGAGGCCCTGAACTCAGTCCCCTGCTCCCTCACCCCTACAAGAAACACAGGGAGAGTATTTTGAAAATTGTTACTTGAGGAATTCTCATTCATCAAACACCATGATAATCTGAAATTCTGATTTTTTTTAAATATAAATATTCCATGAAATAAGGCATTTTGCATGATTATAAAATAAATATATCCTATGTGTACTATACTGTGTTATTCTTCATCTAAACAAGATATACTAAATGGACAGATTTTTGTCTGCTACTAGTATGTTAGGAGGCATATCCCTTTAGCATGGTGTTTGAAACAGTAGCAACATGGTTGTCTTTTATAAGTTCATGGTAAAATTTCTGTGATACTTGCAAGTAACCAGCATAGGCTGCATTGATTACTAGTATCTAATTTTGGCCATATTTGGATGATACTTTTTAATAAACACTTTAATGTCTAGTTTCTAAAAGCTCCAATTATTTTTAAATCTTTATTTGGGTGAAATTTTTTCTGCTAAATTTTGGAACTATAATATGACATGTTATATGATATAGCAAGAATTGTAAGGACAGAGGTGCATTTTGTATATCCACTAAATGGTCATTTAATATCCATCAAATGATAATGTTTGAGAAATTAAATTCACCCCAAAATGAGGTAAATTTAACAGGCTAATAGCATCAACTGAGGTACAGATAAGCACTCTGTTGTGTTCCATGGTGAGTTCCCTTATATACCACAAGAAAAGGAAGTAGATGGGAAAGTGCAAAATAGTGTTTAGTGAATCCACAAGCTGTTTCTAGCCCCTTCAGCCTTCAGTTGGCAACTGATGGCCATTGTCCATTGTGCTTAAGACTCAATGCCCAGCTCTGAAAGAAGGTAAGTAACTCTTACAGGATTGATTCCTACTGAATGTTCGTCAAGCTATTCTGTGCACAGAGATGTCGTCTGGTGTCTCATGTTCTTCATTACTGTCCTCTGTGTAGAACCCCAAATCGCAGGAGCCAGTCACACTGGACTTCCTTGACGCAGAGTTAGAGAACGACATTAAAGTGGAGGTGAGTGCGCACAGTAGGACTAAGCCAGGCGGCCATGTGGCCTGAGCATGGCGTCCCCATCCCAAAAATAACTTTTGCGGAGTGGTTCATGTTAGGCCATCGCCTAACTCATACTGGTGTGCGCTAAAATAGTGTACATCGTGGGCAAATAATTCATACTGGCAAAGAATGGATATTTCAGGTTAGGTGTGGCCTTAATTGTGTTTTCATTGCCTTGGGAACTCCAAAAGGAGAGTTATTTGATTTATTGATTGATTGATTGATTGATTTGGTTTTCCAAGACAGGCTTTCTCTGTGGCTTTTTGGAGGCTGCCCTGGAACTGGCTCTTATAGACCAGACTGGTCTTGAACTCACAGAGGTCCACCTGCCTCTGCCTCCCAAGTGCTGGGATTAAAGGTGTGCACCACCACTGCCCGGTTAAGGGAGAGTTGTTTTAAATGAACACAAATAACAGTAATTTTAATAAAATTCATAGAGACAGATATGCTGTGCAGTTGAGAGAGAAGTTGGCAGTGTTCCAGCCACCCAAACACATGCAGAGCCATGTGTGCAAAGCAGCGGCCATATTCATCTGAAGACGCTTAGCATATTACTGTTTTACATCAATAGCAAAGTGACCTGCCCCTTCTTCTGCCAGGGTGTTTCGCAGTAGGAAAGATAGCTGTCTAGTAGAAGGAATAGAAATTGTCACATTCACGGTACTCGGCATAGTGAGTCCTGGCATGTTTTAGGTGATTTCTTGAAAGCGTTTGGTATCCTAACGTTACAGTGATGGCAGGGAGACTCAGGCCCCAGGTGTCAGTCCCACCGAGTCACCACGCTGCACCCACTTAGTCTCCAAATCTGCCACCCTCGATGTGCAGTGACTGAGTGACGTGACAAATGAGGGAAAGCCGAGCGAAAGGCCTGGTGCTCAGTAAAGTTTGGTTATTGTTCTGCTTGCCTCTTACAGTTTGTAAGCTGTATGAGGGCTGAACTGTAATATGAAATCCTAATAAGTCTCTATGACTCCCGACCTCTTACTATGTCATTCTTCACAACTGCTACATGTGACAAATACAGAGTAAATCACAAGGGGCAAGCCCCATGCAGGGCCCTGTAATCCCAGTACTCTGGAAACAAAGGCATAAGGGTGCTGCAAGTTTGAATTCAGCCTGTTCTGTGAGTCCCAGGGTTGCAGAGTAAGGTCTGGCCTGGAAAATTAACAAACAAACAACAATAACAAACTATGAAGGACAGTCCTAAATCCTGTCTAGGCAGGAACTGGTTGTTTAAGTGGGGTAAAAATTTGGAATATTTCACATTACGTGTTAATTCTGGGAATATACATGCATTTTTGCTTCTTGGGAATCTCTTCCGCCTGGAATTCCAGAAGCCTGTAAGAGAATTGTGTCTCCTTTGCTGCTGTGTTTCAAAGTTTACTGACCAATTAATGAAAAATTCAGTAAGCATGTTTTTCTTATTGCACAGTCATGCAAAATGATTACAAAGCGCAGCATAAAAATCCCAAATAATCTCATGTAATGGTGCAACTGCTTTGCTCTTCTCATTCAATTTCTGCGAAAAGAGGAAAAGCCTTGAAAATGATGGTTTTTGTAACCTTCAGTGGGTCAGCTTGTTTCCTGGAATAAAGCAACTGCTTCATTTTCTCCTAGATTCGAAATAAAATGATAGATGGAGAAAGTGGAGAAAAAACATTCAGAACTCTGGTCAAATCTCAAGATGAGGTAAGAATTAATGAAGCCTTGTTCGTGAGTGAAAGCATGCATTCAGAATAGCGGTGCTGGTGGTGTGTCGTGCCTTTCTGCATTTATTTATGGAACAGGGGCATCTCTCCTGAGCAGTTCTTACTTTAAAAAGCTGTATTAATTCACTGGAGAAACGGCTGTGAGGTCTGGAGTTCAGGTCCCAGCCACCCTGTTGGCAGGCTCAGTGCTTCCTGCACTCCTGTTCCAACAGTGTTGGCGGCCTCTTTTGAACTCTGCAGACAGGTTCCCACATGATTATGTACACTCACACAGAGACACATGCACCCACTCACAAATAAAAACTTGTAAAAGCTATATTCTTAAAATTACACTTTGTGTCTACATGGTTTATTATAAAAATAGATCTCTTCGGGCCAGGGATGAGGTAATATTTGAATTAAGGTAATATTGTAGTATTTGTTATATTGTATTATTTGTTTACACAGTTGTTCTAGAGATTGTGTTCTATGTGGTTTTGCTAGTTTTCCTTCTTAAACCTTCTATACCTGTGGTTCCCAGCCTTCCTAATGCTGCAACCCTTTAATACAGTTGTGGTGACATCCAACCATAAAATTATTTCAACACTACTTCATAACTTTGATTTTACTACTATTATGAACAACAATGTAAATATCTGATATGCAGGATATCTGATAAGTGCCCCTGTGGGGGTCATGACTCACAGGTTGAGAACTGCTGGTCTATACAAGTCACATGATAACACAGCTACCCCTCATCATATACTGGTATATATAATAAGTTCATATTGCTTCAGGTGTGAGTGTAAGTAATTTTTGTATGTGAAGATAGTCTTCTATCCATTATCAGTCATTTGTGAAATAAAAACAGGCATTCACACGCTTGAATGTTCAAAATTACATAGGACTAGGAAGTTTTGTGCCTCTAAGTTTCATTGCAGCTTTCACATACAACTTGTTCTCTTTACCCAAAATTCTGTGTTTTTTTTCTTTTTTGAGACAGGGTTTCTCTGTGGCTTTGGAGGCTGTCCTGGAACTAGCTCTTGTAGACCAGGCTGGTCTCGAACTCACAAAGATCCACCTGCCTCTGCCTCCCAAGTGCTGGCATTAAAGGTCTGTGCCACCACTACTCGGCTGTTCAGAATAATTTTGAAAACCTAAAAAGGGTTTCTAAAGTTATTCAGAGTTAATCCTTTGTTCTGTGTGTGCCTGTTTTTCTTTTTATTAATTCTGTGTGTTTTAAGAACATCATTTCTCCCTAATTTCTTGGCGGCTCTTACCCTAAAATAAACATATGATCTAAATATTTTAATAGCATACATTATTTCTTATTTTGATATAAGTGGCTCTTACCAGAACGGAAAGGGAGGTATTACATTTTTCATTTCTATTGAAATATCAACTCCAGTGGCTTCACTGGAGCCGTGGTCTTGACTCTTTGCTCCCTAAAGCAAGGGTGTAAAGTATTTCACAGATCGGCCAGCTCCTCCATGCTGTTTCAAGAACTCTGACCGTCACATTCTTCCTGCAGCTTGCAACTCATTTGCACACTGCTGTTTTCCCTCTCCCAAACTCACTGTCCATCCAGTCTTTGAACTACATCTGTCTGTCTTAGAAATTCTAGTTTTTCTCTTAAAGGTACACGTGTGCATATCACCTATTACAATACGGCTACTCTCTTTTGATCTGTGTATATATTTCAAGAAACCCTCTTATTTTCTTTGAAGGAACCTAACTTTTTGATATTATCAGGTTTATAAAAATATCAAAACTGTCCCAGACTGATAGCTGAGAGGCCAGCATGGGACTGATCCAGACCGCCTGAACGTGGGTGTCAGTGAAGAGGCCTCAGCATCCTTTGGGGCCTCATGCAATACATCAGCATTTAGCCCTATCATCCAGATGGACTTTGGGAGCCCATTCCACGTGGAGGGATGCTGTCTCCTCCTGGGCATTTGGGGGAGAGCCTAGGCCCTGCCCCAGATCATATGACAGACTTTTGAGATCTTCCATGAAGGGCCTCACCCTCCTTGGAGAGTGGAGTGGGGATTGGAGGAGGGTTTGGAGGAGGCTTGAAGGGAGGGCAGGAGAGGAAGCAAGGGAGAGGGAGCTGGGATTGACATGTGAAACAAGCATTTCTCTAATTTAAATTAAATAAAAAAATTAAAATATCAAAACTATGTATGCATTATTCTTAGTTTTTCATCACCTCGTTTTCCTTTATTGAAATAATTCTTCCTGCATGGTGATGTATCCTGGTTCTGGCTGCTTCTCCCCCCTCCACTCCTCCTCCTCGCTCACCACCTCCCCTCCCAGCTGGGTCTACTGCCTTTGTGTCCCCCATTAGAAAACAAACAGGCTTCTGAGCAATATTGATAAAACACAATATAATAGGATCAAAGAAAAATTCATATTATGATGATATCATTGAGAACATTCAATCTGTGCTTGCTTTGTGCAAAGTTTGGCAGGCATATTTAAGTTGTGGTAATAACCTTTAAATTAAAGTGCTTTTAGTTTAGGTTCCCTCATACTATCAGAAGTCCTTGGACAGAAATCAGATAATGATGAAGCCCATTTTGTTTTTTATTTTTCTTTAATTTAAATTAGAAACAAGCTTGCTTCACATTTCAATCCCAACTCCCTCTCCCTCCCCTCCTCCCCTGCCCTCTACCAACCCCCCACCCACCCAAACCCCACTCCAGTCTCAAATGAGGGTGAGGCCCTTCATGGGGGAGCTTCAAAGTCTGTCATATCATCCGGGGCAGGTCCTAGGCCCTCCTTCATGTGAGATGGGCTCCCAAAGTCCATTCGGATGCCAGGGACAAATACTGATCTAGTACCCAAGGCCCCTTAGATTGCAGAGGTCTCCTAACTGACACCCATATTCAGGAGGTCTGAATCAGTCCCATGCTGGCCTCTCAGCCATCAATCTGGGGTCCATGAGCTCCCCCTTGTTCAGGTCAGCTATTTCAGTGGGTTTCACCCACCTGGTCTTGACCCCTTTGCTCATCACTCCTCCCTGTCTGCAACTGGATTCCAGGAGTTCAGTTCAGTGTTTAGCTGTGGGTGTCTGCATCTGCTTCCATGAGCCACTGGATGAAGGCTCTAGGGTGGCAAAACCCATTATTTCTTATAAGAAATCATTTAACTTTTCTTTGTACCATTTTTCACACCTATGAGATAGGAAAGTCAAATATTAACACGTGTCAACACTGGATGGCAGATTCGTTTTATTTCCAAGCATGTGAACTGTTTCCCACACAGCATCCCTTCACATGGGCTTTACTCAATATATTGGACAACACCGGTTTAAAATTGATTTGCAGAGATTTTTTTCATAGTAATCTCTATCAGGAATACAGTTGTTCTTTAATAAAGCAAATATGTGGAATAAGTAAGAAATTAAGAAAGAAATTAAAAGCTACATGTGTGCAATTAATATACTTAGTAGAAGAAAGAATGAGTGTGCATTTACTATTGTTCTTGACACAGAAGGTATTGTACATCCATGAACTATTTGTTTAACTCTGCACTTCGCATAGTGAATATAGATGTTTTTCGAACCTTCAGTCTTATAGCAGCATGATAGTTCCAGGAAAGGGATCTGTGAGATGGTAACTGTACTTTTAGATGTAGAAATGCTGATGTATTTTCCTCCTCATATCAGCTCTCATTCTTAAACGTACTCTACTATGGTTGATATTTGAACCTTGTCTAATATTCTGTAGTCCTGTTTTATCATTAAATGTGCTTTTAATTAAATCTTTCAGAGGTTTGAAGAAAGTATTCTGTTACCAAATACTAACCTTTTATGCTTATAAGTCTCTAACCTGTATCGTTTGAGTATTTGTTCTGGTCCAATCTTTTATTTGACAAGTACACACATCAAAAGTTTTAAATGTGTTAATAGAAATATGTCATTTCACTTATGAATAAAAAGGATGTTAAATGACCACAGATTTCCAAGTGGACATTATATTTTTTACTTTATATAGATTCATATGAATGGGGACTATAATGACCATGTTTAACTTTCTTTCTAGAGATATATTGACAAAGGAAATCGAACATACACATGGACACCTGTCAATGGCACAGATTACAGGTACTTAACTACATTTACAATTGTCTTGTATAAAGGACTGTTCATTCAATAAACTTTTTTCTAATATTTGGTGGCCAATATTCAATAGTCTAGTATGAAATCTTAATTTTAGTTCATTATTTTCAGTGGAAGTTCAATAGAAAAATTAATCCTGCCAGCACAAAAATGAATTAGAGTCTGAGTTTCATCATGTAAAATGTGGAAAGTAGTTAGCAACATAGTATTAAGAAATAATAACTTTACTTAATGACAATAGTAATAAAGATTGATGTAATAGCCATAATTTATAGGTATGACTTCTGTTGACATTCTCTTTTATTTCCATTTAGCCCAGTTATTTTCATTAATGTTGTACTTTAGCTAAAAATTAATAGTGTGTTTTTCTCATCATTATATGTGATATAAAATAACCTTAGCCTCACTGAATGGTTCAGTGATGTCTGGATCCCTCTCGTTTTCTATAAATTGGACCATACAAAGCCCCCTATTCAATAATCTTTTGAATGATCCCTCCTTTCTTCAAACTCAGTGACCAGTACACTTCTCTCTCTCTCTCTCTCTCTCTCTCTCTCTCTCTCTCTCTCTCTCTCTCTCTCTCTCTCTCATGTTTCAGTCAGGATTTCTCTGTGTAGCCCTGGATGTCCTGGAACTCACTTTGTATGCCACCACACCTAGCTCTTCTCTTCTCTTAAATCTCAGGGCTTCCTGCTTTCTCTTTGGTCCTATGTTCCACATCCTTGAAATAGTAAAATGTTTTATGTAGCTTGAATTCTAATTGGTCTTAATAATAAAAACCTGGAGTCAAATATAGCGATTAATGCTGAAATATCAGAGAAGCAGAGCAACCAGCCACTAGCCCTTACCTCTACTGAATCCTCAGATTGAATGGGTGATCCTTTCCCTATGAATCCTCAGACTGAATGGACTATCCTGTCTCTAGAAATCTTAAGACTGAGCTCTTGTCTTCTCCCATCTTATATTCCTTTCTTTGCCCAGCCATATCCTTTCCTGTCTCCACCTTCTTAGTGCTGGGGTTGAAGGCCTCTGACTCCAAAGAACTGGGATCTGGGATTAAAGATTTGAGCCATCACCACCAGTCTCTGTTTCTCCTTTATACTGGATTGATGTTGTGTAGCCCAGGGTGGCCTTGAACTCACAGAGATCTGCCTGCCTCTGTCTCCCAAGTGCTGGGATTAAAGATGTGTGCCCCCACAACCTGACCTCTATGGACAACTAGTGGCTAGTTCTGAACTCTGATCTTCAGGTAATCTTTATTTGGTAAAGCACAAACAAAGTGTCACCACAGTTTTGTCTTGCCTCTTAACATCTCTTCTTGGAAATTTGCACTTTTGAATTTCATGTCATCAAGCCACACCTACCATCCAACCTTCCTTAATTTAACAGTCTCTCCTCATTCTTCCAATACAGACTTACTTTCGCTCTCCACATTCACAGAGATCCATATTCTGTGGCCACTATTTAAGACCTATCAATGTGGGTAAAGTAAAACGGGATGTATTTGGTAAAAATAAATCTTAAAATACACAAAAAGTCAATTTTTTATCATTGTATTCTACAGAATTAGTCTGTCAAGTTGTTTTTTAAAAGCTAAGCCTCAGTTTCTATTTCTATATATATATATATATATATATATATATATATCTAGATATACTTATTCATGGGCAAATAATTGGCAACTGGCAAACAGACAAGGTCCATAGGCCACACTTATGTAGTATTAAGAGAGATGACTTTCCATTTCTCCTGATGAGATCATCATTTCCTACTTAGACACTGACTTCATAGTCATCTTTTGCAGCTTGTACATTTTGTGTACCAAAGCTTTACATTCTCCAAATCATTTCCAACACCACACTTCACCAGACATGATAGCAGTGAAGTGTTGATAACTTAGTAGGCAGCCTTTATCAGGGCCTGGAGGCCTCAACAGCCCAACAAATTTAGAATGCTTATATGTCTTTTCATGACTTCTTTTTTTTCTTCTCAAACCGATTCCCTGTGCATTTTCTCTCGGGTGAGATTCTATTTTCTTCTGTTCTGTGGAAAAATGCTGTGGTCAGGGAAAACTCTCAGCAAAATACACAGACGCTTAAATGTGCTGCTCCATCTTTGATAGTTAGTTTTGACTTCAACACAGAATACACTTGAGTTTAATTGTTCATTGCAACTCCACTCAAAAGCCCTAATAATATGGCATCTCATTCAATATAACAATCAAAGTGTATCAGGTATCAGTTCTAATCCTACTGGTCTCCTTCAATACTAGATTCGGAATTTACTGTTCAAATCCTTAATTGACACCCTCTGGTCAAGTCTTACTTCTCCTCAAAGACGTTAATAGCTTTCTGTTTCAAGGTCTTTGACCCTGGTCACTTTAAATTAGGATTGCTTCCCAAGATTGAGCCTCCTGTAGATTCCTCATCTACTTCATGTCTTTCTTTACTCTTTAGAAGGATATTTTCATATCTGTTTTAAATACTGTATTATCACCAGCTAGTTCACCCAAAACTCATTTGGGTTTACACACAAACACACACACACACACACACACACACACACACACACACACACACACACACAGAGGTATACATGAAGCTTAGAGAAAGGCATTTAACTCTGCTTTCCCTGAGTTCTAAGAGGACAGAGATGGGTGCTCCTCTATTTGTCTCTGACTCCCATGCTTATAACACAGAGACACATAGTAGGTACTTTCTAGATGATTATAAAACTGAAGAGTCTCGATGTGAAGAAGTAATTTTTAACTTGAACAAACTTGCAATCTGTTTCACCTTGTCAAATTCAGAAAAACTATACCCCAAAATTTCTGACATAATTTTTTCATGTGGCCTTTGACTATGCATTTATCACCAATCAATAGGAATCCTAATTAATTTGTTGTGTCGGACTCAGACTCAGCTATATCTTTTCATTGTTGTTGTTGTTGTTGTTGTCTTTGTTTTGCAACTCCTCATTTCATAAACTTGCTACACATTATCCCTTGGGGGAGCCTTGAGTGCCAGAGATGTCTGAAAGCTACAATGTTGTTGTTATAGGAACCTGTTTCCTTTTGTTCTTGGGATGACAAATAGAATGTAGAAGAAGAAAACACAATGTTAATGTCTTGATATATTACATCCAAGTCCTTCTCTGTTTGTCTTAGTTATATTTTAGGACACTGAAACATACCAGAAGTACCAGTTTTATCATTTTATTCATTTTTATGCAACTAGTAGATTGTAATATCTAACTTTCTTCCAGGCATTTCTTTGCATTTGCATGATGTTCATGAGTATTTACAAGTAGTGGTTTTCATCATTTATTTTGATTATTACCATCTTTCAATTTTTGAACAAATGATTATTACCATCTTTCAATTTTTGAACAAACCTATAAAAGAAGGTACAGGACACTGGGAAGTTCTGGCTATTAAGAAATGGTATCATTATAAAACAAAGCATTGCTGGGTATTGGTGGTGCATGCCTTTAATCCCAGCACTCATGAGTTTGAGGCAAGCAATTTTCTGTGAGTTCAAGTCCAGATTGGTCTACATAGCTAGTTCTGGGACAATCCAGCCTACACAGAGAAACCATGTCTCAAAATGAAAAAAAACAAATAAATAAAAATAAGTATTGGTTGCAATGTATGGGAATATGGCTCCTGCCTTTGTCGCTCCAATAAGCAAAACATAGACACAATCTTTTTAAACATGGCCACGAGTCAGCAATGAAAGTTGCTTTTATTTCAGTTGCAAAGCTACCTTTGTGGTCACCTTAATTTTGGGGATCTTGTTATTGTTTTTCGTTCCTTAAGGATGTTTTAATTGCATTCACCACCCCACAACTCCTCTCAGATATGTCCCTGCCTCTTTCAAACAATAATCCTATCAAGTCCAATGTCTGCTGCCTGTTTATTCTTGGATGTATGAGCTTCCACTGAAGTGTGTTAGTCTTACTCAGGTCTCCCTCCTTCGAAGACTTACCCTTACTTTTTCCAGCAATCACTATCAAATAACTCTTAACTAAGCCTGAGGTTTTGTGCTCACCTCCCTTCACCATGCTGGGATTTGCTCTGGATTGAGCTTACACAGCTCTTGTCCACGCTGTGTAACCACTCTAAGTACACAGGTGCTGCTGTACCTAGAAAACACTTCTTGCAGTCATCCACCAGCCCTGCTCTTATTACTTCTTGCTCTACTGCAATGATCTCTCTAGGCCTTAAGATGTCATATAGATGTCCCATTTACTGCTGGACATTCCGCTATCTGATTCTCTACATCTCAGTCAGTTTTAGGTCTCTGTGCCAATCACCATCTAATGCAAATAGAGATATCTCTGATTAGAGTTGAGAGATGCATTAATCTATGGGTATAATGATAAGTCACTAGTAAATAGTTGGTTTAGTCCCTCATGCATTTAACATAATAGTAGCGGTAGGTTCTAACCTTGGGCCTATGATCTGCTTATTCATAGGCTATTGATCCAAAATTAGTGCCACACGTGGATCTGATCTTGGAGAGTCAGCTGTATACACTATCAGAAAGTGGTTCCAGGTTGTTCATGCCTCCACTACATAAATGGGCCAGTCTTGCCAGGCCAGTCACACTGTGGCTCACAATGTTCAGAAGCAGATATGAGTCTGTGATTGTCTCACAGATGGTTTCTTCACTCAGCCTCTTTGCTTTACACACGCAGGAGCAGTGCATAGTGTGAGTGATGTTCTTCTTCAAGTTCAGTGTCACTCTGCTTACAAAACGTTACAGTAGATCTCTTACGGATGGTATTGATTCCACCCACTTCTACCACAGCCTGTCTGCTCTCATCTTACTGCTTTTGTCACCACGCTGTGCTAGGAAGAAGCCAAGGCTTCCTCACGTTGCTTGTATGCTTTCCTCACATGGTCCATTACTAAGTCTCTACACATGAACCCTAATGTCTGGTCAGATAATTCTCAAATAGCTAACAAATACCATTCTCTGCCTGAAAATGTATGATTTGATTGAATGAGTGAAATACCACTTTCAGACACAGGGGTTTCTGTTTTCTTAAACTTTAATCCAACTTAGGTAACACATTTTAAAATATAAATAATGACTTATTTTACTGGAATGTACTATTTTCTAAAGAGATTGACTATGATGCGAATAAATGATTTGAGTTGAAAACTGTGCTATAGTCCATTTAATTCAGTTAACTAGGTTTATGGGACTCACAAAATTACTACCTGGGCTTTATCATCCATCCAGTGTCACTTACTTTATTAAACTCTAATCTCTGAGAAGAATCAAGAAGCCTTGTCCTATTGGGCTCATACTGTGAGATCAAGCAGTTCTTGCATAGGAAAGCATCATTGCCTTGGAATGTTGATAGAGATCTTATCTGCAATATGTGGAAAAAACAACTGTTGGATTGACTTGGAAATAGATACAGCTATTTTTCTACAGAATGATAAGTGACTATGAGTAATAACATCAGTCTTGAAGGCCAACACATCACGTAGTTAATGTGCCAATTTTAAAGCTTTCATTGGTAACCCCATGGGTTGCTACACCACTTTTGGTGGAGCATAACATGTAACTCAAGCTTATAGAGAGTCACTGTAGCAGTTGTAGGATATGGTGTTATCAGTTTAAATTAGAAGATTTTGATGGTGATAAATGTTGAAGGAGCAATAAAAATGCCTTAATTCCCCTTGAGAGAAATTTGTAGGAGGCAGTTTTCAAATACTCAGTAATTCTGTTCTTTTATTAATGGCAAGTGAATCATGAAAGGTCATCTTGCTTTCAGAATGATTGCATTGCTTATTTTAATTTTAATCCCTGCCTCCCCTTGAAGTTACCTATAAAATGAATGTAGAAATGTTCATTAACTCTACATTCATTTTATTCATTTTATTTATTCATTTTATTTCATGTTCTGTAGTCGTGGCCGAGTGGTTAAGGCGATGGACTAGAACATTTTATTTCTCTGACCTTCTCTCATAAGCAAAACCTATGAATTACTTATGGTGGAGGAAGCTTTGGAAGCTAAGGGTGACAAGCACACACTAATTTTTTCCATCTTTATTGCAAAATTAAATTTTAGAAAGCAAACCCTTGCATTTGAACATTTGTACAAGGGGATCTTAACATTTGAATATTTGTACAAGGGGATCTTAACATTTTCTATTCGTAAGAAGATAATTTTTTATTTTGTTTCATTATATATTATCTGTTAATAACATGCAATGAAATAATACTTTGGATTTCTGTTCCCATATCTGGTTATGGGAGGTGGAGTAGGATGACTTAAAGAATCTACGAGTCCTTTACAATATTCAAATTCCTAGAAAGGAGGATATTTCTGGTGTTTCACTAATATTGGGAGTGATGATAAGCAGCATGTTAACCATGTTAACACTCTGTGTATGCTTTCACTGAGCATTTTAGAAATACACCCATTTCTTACATCCGAGAATCACTGGATTCCTTATACATCCAAGGTCGCAGGTCGTTTGCTTTGGCAAATGTAGATAAGCAATCATTTCTTTGTCTTACATGTTTATATTAGCTGAAGGAAGAAAAGAAGTTTACTTCTGACTACTGCCTAATCTTAATTCAAAGCACTAATACATTCATCGGGTATTCTATGAATTAGAAAGTTGTAAAAAAAAAAAAAAGTAAGGTTACCCCCGGGCAGCTTCTTGTGAACCATCGTTCAAGCAATGCTTGCCTCGCATTCTTTGTGACTAAAACATTCTGAAGTGGGCCTAAGTGTACAGTAGAACTGTTCTTTGGCTAGAACATCCACCATAAGACTACGTAAGCCTCCAGACTCCTAAAAACTACTAAACTCAAGAAATCCTTCCTCTTTAGTAATTGTGCTTACTCGTGTGGCATACCCAGAGTAAACCAGTTGTGCAGTGAGTTGTACAAATGAGAGGGAATGAATCAAGCAGTCTCTATAAAGGGTCAGAGCTCGTCCATGTGCACACACTAGGGATCTTGCCACAGGACCAGAGCTTCAAAACCGTGGGTGTGGAATCCCTCCAAAGTGTGAATTTCTGATATCTTTGTGCATTGTGAAGTAGTAGCAATGGTTAGTCTTTCATTTTTAATTTTTATTGTGTTTGGTTTCAAAGCATTCAACATTATGTACAATAAAGAGGGTGTATCCAACTGGTATGATATTTACTTTGTTTAAATTTAAACCCTATTTTCCTTTCTTTTGGGTCACAATCTGGAGTACATAATTAAACTATCTGGAAATACATCAAGGATCCAAGGCATTCATCGTCAGCTATTTTATGGCTACATTAGGTAGCTTATTACTTCTTTGCCTTTTAACTCCCTGCCCTGTAGAGAGCAGGCTGCCACTGTTTAGCAAGATAGAGATTAAGAATTCTATTTGTTGAATGCATTTTCTTGTCATAGTAACATGTCCTCTCCTTCGCATGAGGAAGATCCTTGGATTTTCCCATGAACTTGATGTCTTTTTTTTTAAGTTATGTTTCATTTCTGTTTGTTTGTGTTTATGCTTCTCTTGTTTCTATTGCAGTTTGGCCTTGGTATTGCCAACCTACAGTTTTTACTATATAAAAGCCAAAATAGAAGAGACAATAACTCAGGCCAGATGTAAGTACTGTGAAAGCAACTTCAGGATCTACTCGTTATCGCCTAGTGTAGATGTTTACATCTAGACTTTGGAATGCCCAAGGCTTATACATCTTAGTAGGTATTATTGTGAAATACACAGCAATGATTCTAACCCATTCCAAACATGCAAGGAACAAGAATATTCTACGTGGATAGAATATGAGCAGGTCCTCCAGGCTCACTGGCAGTCCCACCTCCCTTCCTGCCTTGCTATGTGCTCAGAGAATCATTGCAGCGCTGTGTCCTCTGTGCCTGTCATTTTAAGGGTCTGTGAGCTGGTGTGAGACGTTTCACATCCTAATACCATCATGGTCTCTGCTTATGGCACTGTGCTAGCCAAGCTTCTCCTTTTCTTTCCTTTTCTTTCTTTTTCTTTTCTTTTATTTTCTTTCCTTTTTTTTGTTGCATTTGGCCAGAATAATATTGTGCTTGGCAGTTAGCTTTCTTTTTATAATCCAAATTAATGTCTCAGTAACTCAGATAAATTCACTTTTATGCATCCTTTGGAATGTGGAGTAAATAACATCAATGCCTATTTCAAGTCATTTTTTTAAGTTTTATTTTGTTTTTGATGGCTAGATTCTGTTAAACAAAATGACCATCATATCCTTTGTTCGCCACTCAATGGTTACTGGCAACCTAAATTTTTTTCTATTAGGATTCAGGAAAAAAAAATATATATATATATACATATATATCTTTTGCTAGTTCCCATCTATTCTCAGCCTGTCTTTTTGCGGTTTGCAGCAGCGGTAGACACTTCTGTATTGTGGAAGATTAAAGTCTACATTTGCGCTTTCGCTCGATAGGTATGATGGTCTTTTAACCACCAGCAATCCTGCATGAGCTAGTGTTTTTGTGTGGTAAAGGTTGGGATACTTAGTGAGTCTGCTCATCGGTAAGTGCTTCTTTGCAGAGCTGGCATCATTGTCACTGCACCCGCATCAGGCACTTTGCAAAAACAGACCCTTGAAATAACCACAGTACAGAGAGGGAACAAGAGTAAAGTTGACCGAACATAACGTCCCCAGTTCAAATATGTGTGTTTTTCTCCCCAAACTACAGCTGTACATAAATGGACCTTTGATCTATGCACAATATTTTTATTCACAGTCATTGAATAAAATATTGCTTGTGACCCCTTTACTTTACCCTCTTTTTTTTTTGTTTCCCTGCTTTCTCTTTCTGATGGATTTACAGCAAAAAAGGGAAAAATGAAGGGCAAGTATTTTCTTGTTGCTCAATTTCTCTGTTTAGTACACAGCATTTTCACTAATATTTTCACTCCTATTGGTTATTATCCTCTGTGCTTCATATTGGCTAGAATTTCCTCCATGACTACCCAAAGCTTAGCAACAAAACAGGGTGGGTGTGCCTGTGTTTGCTCAGGCACACTGTCACACTCAAGTTGGTTATACCTTTTTAGGCTTAATACCATGTTTCTTTTTACATCTTCCCACCCACTAATTCATACCTAGTATAGAGATTCTTACTGCTTCACCAAATGCATGAATGAATTCAGAGTATTTAATCACAATGTTAATAAACTTTACCGATGTTTTAAATAATATACTTGCTGTACTGTGTATATAATATCTTAAGATACTTAAGTCTATTAGAATTAGTAAATAGAAAACCATAAATAGCATTTTGTATGTAATTACTGCTATAATTGTCTAGTGAAGCTTACCCATGCTATGGCCTCATTATTCTGGGAGTAGTAAGAGAGAATTATATCGAGAATCTTAACAGTTAATTCGTTTTAAGTCTAAGATGTAAACAGTCTGTTTAAAGTTTTCGTAGTCGGGACTCTTTACAATTCCTTCATGTTGTTCTACACCATTGAATTATATGCTCTATATTGTTAATCTTATCTTATATCATTACATTTTCAGATTCAGAAACCCTGAAGCCAGACAATTTTGAAGAATCCGGCTATACCTTCATAGCACCAAGGTTGGTTTTGTTGTTCTGATTTCCTCTGCAATAACTCATATTGTTGGCTAAATCCTTCAGAAAAAAAATCCTTAATTGGGGTCAAAATGACTCTAAGTTAATTCTGTGTTCAATTATGAAACCAAAGGGACAATGGCTTTTAGGTTTTCGATATCCTGTTTATTCATTCAAATTAATGCTGTTTGTTTAAATACTGGTAGAGCAATTGGTGAAGTTGAAGATGTATGAGATGTCATATGCCCAATGGCAGATAGAACAGAGGATCTTTGGTCTTCTGGAATAAACAGTGTACCCAGTAATGGAGAATTGTCTACTAGAGATTATATATATATGCACAAAGGTACTCCACATATACATATAATTGTCTTGGAGGTATATATACAGACACATACATACACATGTCTAAGCCCACACACTTAAATATGAAATGTTTTAAGCTCATAGTCGTATTTTTATATACTCAACACAGATTCCTGGATGGTAGGTTTTTACTGAAGAATCATGTTTTATTATATACATACATAGAAAAGCCGTCGATATACATGATGCCTGCTACCCATTTTGCTTGTAAGTTTTTGGCCTTTGCCTTTTTAAGGTTGACAGTGCCACCCACCGATTTCTGGACCCAGTACATTATCTCCCCTGATTGTTGTTGGTCCTGATTGCTTCACCAGCTTAACCAGAGACACGTTTGCCTTCTGCATTCACCTGTGTGAGGCAATGGTGCTGCATGTGTCCCTCTGCACCAGCTGCCCTACCCAGGCCTTGGAGGATGCAATAGTGGACCCCTATCTTGTGACACAGCAGGCAGGGAAACAACCCGGTGCTTTATGAGGTTGCACAGTGGGCAACCAACGCCAGCTGAGCTTGCTCTCCACAAAGTAGTGACAATATTGACCCCATCAAAGAGCAAGTGGTCCCTCTAGGGACATTCCCTTCGGCAGCAGCTTGCTTGTCAATGTGAATTCACAGCCTCTGTTTCTTCTGCCTCTTTGTCTCTGGCCGATGCTGTGGGCAGCCTTAAGGAGTTGGGATGCTGACAGTCTAGGGCCTTGGTGAGCTTCAGGTATTTTAACTTCTATAGAGGATAGACCTTTGGAGTGGAGTCTATTGTATTCAGGCCATTGACAATGTGGATGAGGTCTCTTTGGTGCTGGATGTTCAATGCCAAAGTTCAGAGGCCTTTTCTCAAACAGGGTCCACCACCATTTTGTCCTGCTTCTTTCCGGCATTAGGGGTTCAAATCACCTTTGTCTTTTGGGTTGTTTTCATTTTGGTCTCTTGTCCAGCTGGAGACGAGGAAAATACAGTGCCTCATATAGTGTGTGTGTGTGTGTGTGTGTGTGTGTGTGTGTGTGTGTGTGTGTTGATGTGTATGTATGTGTGATATATGCAGTACCTCATACAATTTGTGCGTCATGTATGTGTGTTTTTGCATGTAGGTGTGTAAGTAGGTGTGCACATGGAGCCAAAGATCTTTCTTCACTATTGCTCTCTACCTTGTTCCCTGGAGACAGGGTCTTTCACTAATTCGTAGCTCCTAGAATCTGCCTATCACTTTCTCCCAACTCTGAGATTCCACGTATGCTTAGTGATGCTCAGCCTTATGTCATAATTTTCATATGAACATATCTTTCTAGCCAATTTTGTTTCTCTCATGTAATCACTATCCGTAATGCATATTTTTATTCCACCTCTATTTGACTATTTGAAACTATTAAATTCTTTATTTTTTATTCTCTTTTCCTTGTTTTGGTTCCCTGTCTTTAGTGTATGGTATAGAGTAACAAAATACATTTCCTATTAGTCTAGTTTAAATTATCTAAGAGAATGGAGGGAGACAATTCTATTATTGTTTTCAGTTGCACTTTGTTCAGAATTTTTTTTTTTGGTTTTTCAAGACATGGTTTCTCTGTGGCATTGGAGGCTGTCCTGGAACTAGCTCTTGTAGATCAGGCTGGTTTCGAACTCACAGAGATCTGCCTGCCTCTGCCTCCCGAGTGCTGGAATTAAAGGCTTGTGCCACCACTATTAGGCTGTTCAGAGTAATTTTGAAAACCTAAAAAAGGTTTCTAAAGTTATTCCGAGTTAATCCTTTATTTTTGGCATATGGGAAATACTAAATTCTGTCTCTTTGAAAATTGGTAGTATTTGTAACACTTTGAAAAACCACAGTTAACAAAGCTCATCCTTGGCTTTGAGAGTCCCCCTCATTTGCTGTGGATGGGTTGGCCGTCTCCTCCTTCCTTTTTGCATCTCTCCCATGTTACACGGTTCGAATTGTCTTATCCCTATCCAGCTGCAGATGCAGGATTCTCCCAGGAGCCTCGTTTCTTCCCCACCCAGAGAAGGAGCTGAGAACTATGAGTACCTGGGCTCTCTCCTTATGTGAGTTCATCCTCAAACCACGAGCCATGCATTAATTCCTCACCTACAAGTTGGGATGATGTCTCCCAAATCTAACATGAGGGTTCTAACTGCTAGAAACAACAGACACAAGTGGCCTGTTGACATTGCAATAGAGAATTAAACAGATCTCTTTCCAGACTTTGTCCACCCTCGTATTTCCACATAAGACATTCATGTGTCATGAAAGCCTAACAGAAATGTTTCTTCAATGTGCTTCCAATTCAGTGTCTTGTAAATATTTGTCCCACTTGGAAAGCTCTTCTTGTGTTGCTTTTAAGAAGGAAATAGTATTCTTCCAATGCACAATCTTGAGACATAGCGGTTGTCCTGATCTGCTCCCATTTGCTAATGTCCTACTATGAATTTATCCCTGAGTCTTCCCAGGTCTGTCTTAGGACCTTTGTACATTTCTGTCTCTTTCAAGTTATTTCACCCTAGTCCAGGCCACGGCCTTCTTGTGCCTATAGCAACATCTGAGTGGTTCTCACATTCCCTCAGTTTGCTCCTGCTTTTCAACCCGGTTTCTACGCCATGGGTAGAGGGTTTTTTAAACTGTGAAGGCATCTTTCTCAAGTGCTACTTACTAACTAGCGGCTCTGTGTTGTTATAGTGATAATTATGGGCTGTATTCCACGGCTTTCAAGTGCTGTGTCACCAAGGGTCCACGTTCTAGTGGTTCCCTGTACTAGAAAGAGGGAGCCTGCAGATTGACTGTCTGTTCACTGAAGTAGAGAAGGTCTCATTTTCTCATGTACTGCTTCTGGTGGCTATAATGTTTTCTTTTGCCATCATAAAACATTCTGCCCAGAAGCAACTTAGCAGAGGATTGGCTTTATTTAGATTACAATTCCAAGTTATAATCTGTTATTGAGGGAAGAATTGGCAGGACTTCACAGTGCAACTAGACAGAGAAGCCGAAGAAGAATACTGCTTGGTGGCTAGCTCATACAGGCTTGCTTATCTACAGTTTGCTTATCTACATAACTACTACTTGCCCAGGGAATGGTCCCGTCCATGGTGGAATGAACCTTCCAACATAAGTTAGCAATCAAAGCAGAAATCCACAGACCAAACTGATGATGCAATCCCTGAACTGAGATTCCCTTCTCAAGTGACTCTCGTCTTTTTCAAGTTGACAGTTAATGAATGCTTAGTAGGACAGAGTCTATGGGCTACTTCGGGAGTAGATTTAACTGGTTCTAGCACAGACTTCATGGTCCTCAGAGTATGAATCACTGGCTGCATTGCCCTATTTTCGAAGGTTTTCCCGTGCCTATTTTTTTCTTCCACTTACTCTCTTTTGCATTTTTTCACTGTGTATACACAAACCCCACTAAATCCAAAACCTCAGCATCATCTTGGGAAATTCCAACCATCATTTTATTATGTATTCTGCTGATTGCTTCATACAATTCTTCATTTTCCTTACCAAAGATTTAGTCACTTCTCATTTATTCAGTTTATTCAAGGAACCACTATGCGTCCATTTGAGTTACTATTGGACATTCGGTGTTGAAACCCTTGTCCTTTACACTGTACAGCTGAGTAAATCCTTGGTAACTGGAGAATCTAAGAATATATGAATATCATTTTTTAAAAAAACAAATGATAATCCGTAATAACTGTGTCCTTGTATGTGTGTGCATATAAACACACATGCAGAGATGAGAAGTCAGCCTTGGAGAATGTTGCTTATTGAAGGCCATACATCTTGTTTTTTTTTTAGGACAGACTCACATTGGTTTACAACTTAGCCAATTAGGCCAGGCTTGTTGACCAGGAAGCCCCAAGGACACATCAATCTTCCCTTCTTGTCATCACTCTTGAAATTTTTATGTAGGTTCTGGAAAGCTAGCCCAGATATTCACACCTGCATTATTTACCAATCTAATTTGCTCTCCGTTGTTCTGATAAAACACCATGCCCAAAAGCAACCTAGAGAAAGGAGTTATTTTGATTATGCTTCCACATCATAGTCCATCTTTGAAGGAAGTCAGAACAAGAGCTCAAGAAGGACCTAAAGCCAGGAACTGAAACAGAGGTCATAAAGCACTGCTGCTTACTGGCTTGCTTTCTGTGACTGCTCAGCTTGCTTTCTTACATAACCCAAGACCACCTGCCCAGGAGCGGCACTGCCCACAGTGGGCTGGGCTCTCCCAGATTGATGATTAATTATGAAAGTGTACTACAGACATGCCCAGACTAGCTGACAGAGGTACCTCTTCAATTGAAGTTTCCTCTTCCCAAGTGATTCTAGTTTGTGTCAAGTTGACAAAAACTAGCTGACATAATTTAACCCTTGTCATCATGACACAAATGCATGGTTATTAAGCCACAGTCTTCCCTTTATTATGTATCCCTAAGCTCTCATGTTAACATAACAATATAAAAGACAGTATATCTTTAAAAGTTATACTATCTTAAAATTTTCAGCACTTGAAAGCCCAAGATTATTATAAAACTCTAAAATCTCCTAATTATGGGCTTTGGTAAAGTCAAAACCCAAATTACATACTTTACTATTCTAAGAGAGACGATTCTGGGAACAATTAAAATGAAATGAAAGCAAAAATACTATCTAGAAATGCAAA